AACGCAGATACAACATCAAGCTATGGAAGACCTTCACCGATTGTTTCAACTGTTTGCCGGTAGCTGCCATAGTAGACGAGAAAATATTCTGCATGCATGGTAATACTAGGAGACGCCGTAGGCTGGCCCTTGAGTCTACGATAATGGGGATCGCATCTCGTGTATGCTTATGGTCGGTCTGGGCGGATATGGAATATCGCGTTGCTTTTGTGCTTTTAATCGGCGAATATTGTGGAAGTAGTTGTGGTATAGTTCGAAGTCGCTCGCTGATGCTCACCATTTGACAATTATTTTATCATTATATTGTACCGTTATTATATTCATTGGAGTTCACCACCCTAGTGATATGAAAAACACTAGTGAAAAATCTATTTCACGACTACTGCATATCGCCAGTATCGCGTCTTTCACAGGGTACTACGCCACTTCACGTAAAACGGGTTATACTCATTATATTTTACCGTTATAGATTATAGTTTTTTTATCTTATACCGTTATCAACATCCCAACTGTTGTCAGGGGGTCTCTCGCCCGAGCTCAACTCCATGGATCAGATCAAACGGATACTGCGCCCAACAGATGTTCCTGACACCGGTAATGCTGTTGGTGACGTTGATGTGATGATGATGAGTATCATTAGGCTTGCTGTGTGATTTGCTGTGGTCGGATCCAGAACAAGACATAAGTGGATGGGGCGAGAACGATCGGTAGTGGGCACAGACCGCTGGTGGCTGGTGATTGAGCTTCTACTCAGAGGAGTGTCGTTCACCTTCGGCGCGGATATTGTACAAGCTTGTCTGAGGAAACACGACTTGGATCTCATCTGTCGGGCACATCACGTAGAATATGGCTGGGGTAGTAGGATGATGGTCGTATTATGGTGTAGGTTGTGGAAGATGGTTATGAGTTCTTCGCCAAGAGGCAGTTGGTAACGCTGTTTTCTGCTCCTAATTACTGTGGTGAATTCGATAATGCTGGCGCAATGATGAGTGTTGACGAGACCCTCATGTGCAGCTTCCAG